TGTGTCCTTAGGTGCTGAATAAGCATGTTAAAGCAGCCACAACCCTGCAATCCTGCTCTGTGCTCCCTGGGAGGATAAAACCCCGCCCCAAAGCCATCTGTTCGGTTTAATTTCACTCCCCTACAAAAAGGCAGTTGCCCTTTTGTGTTGCCTCAAGATTTGCCATCAGTCCTGTTCCTACCTCAGAAAAGGACGCCATTTATTCCATCCCTGTCTCATGTCACCGTATTTCTTCCCAGGTTCGAACCCCAATGTTCCCTTCCTCATTCCAACCTCGATGAGCCTGTCTATGTCCTGTGTCATTGTCCTTGAGTTTGTCCTTTCTACCTGCTCGTTCTCATTGAAACATCACATTCCTTCACCGAATTGGGGATCTTGGAAATACCAGCATCATATAACGACGGGAGTTTTGCGTAGTTGGAGTTGTCCTTCCTCCCCAGAGACTCGTACCCGTTTCCACACTATTGTGGACACCAATGGGAGGAGCTTCCATTGTATCTTCATACAAGAGATGCTGTGAGTCGCAGTGACGGCGTTTCTGCAGCCCGAGCATCGGAATCTGCTGGGTTTTTACCCACACATCCTGTTTAAATGATTACAAACGTGTGCTTTTGAATCATTTGGATGAGGCTGTAAACTCTGTTCTGTAAACTCTGGTCTGTAAACATAAGCCATCTGAGAATTGCGCAAGCGTGTTGCTGGTCACACAGCACAGCAGCACGTGGTGTGGCATGCTCAAACGGCGGGGGCCACCGTGCCTCTTTCCACACATCAGACACGTTGAAGTGCTGGTGCTCAGCAATTCCTCCTGCCTGTGATTCCCCCCCATCTCTCTTACCTAGTTAAGCTGCCATAGTTAATTAGATCTGCCGGAGTCTCCTTATCTCCACACTGCACTACACACAATTTCATCTATTAGTCACACAGTTCCCTTGATGCACTGTTCAGTTCTCTATCCTGACGGCGGGCAGTTCCCTGTCTGCCCACCCAGCCTGACTACACATCTGCCATCCTCACCTGCCGGCTGCCGGACCGTACCACCCCTCAATCCCGCCGAAGGAAGCAGCTTCCTCACCTTCCTGTCCTGACATCAGCTGGACCTTCCGCATTTACACCTGGACAATGCACAATTTCCCTTCCCTTTTCCATTTTCGGGTTATGGGGGGGCCCGGGTCTTATTACACAAATTTAACTTTATAAATTGTGACTTTGCTATTTTGGACTTACTCTACCTCCCACTGCAGGATGGGCTCCCCCTCTGAGTCTGGTTCCTCCCAAGGTTTCTTCCTTCTAGGGAGTTGGGGAGCTTTGGGCTGGGATAATGCAAAAAGCCTTGAGACAATGTAATGTTGTGAAAATGCACTATACAAATAAAATTGAATTGAATTGAATATTTTGAAGAGTCTAAAATATAAGAAAAATTTGAGATATTCAATACTACTCTTGGCAAATGCAATATTTAATATGTCTTACTTCATTTCCTTGAGGCCTTGGTGAATAACAGAGCTAAAACAGAGAAATGTGTCCAGATTTTTAACTGTTACTATCTAAAACTGCGCGTAATTCTTTTTTAATTGTTATTTTTCACTGGCCGTGAGTCAGTTTAACGTGTGCTGGCCGAGCCTGTTCGGCATGACAGAGAAACACCCGGAAACACTGCCGTCTGATGGCATCTCCTATGTGAAGCTGCCGGTTTTTAAGGGTGCTGAGGGATGCTGGGCACGCCTCTGCTCTCAGTGGGGACAAGAGAGGCGGAAACTGTAGTGATGATGGTTTCATCTCAGATTCATATCGGCAAGCAGCCTCTGCCTGTGGGCGCCTCGCGCCCTCAATGCAGAACAAAAGGACTAACTTTTTGTGGAGAAGTATTACTCCAAGATACCTCCGAAGGCCCAGGCTGCATTCACTGATTGAAACTGCAGAACATGAGTCATGTAATTTTGGATAAATGATCTGCTAATGTTGTTTATTCCAGAATCCTGGTACCAGTACCTGTGCCCCACAGAACTCTGGGATAGATTCCTTAGATTCAACCCTGGACAACGAGAAGGATCCAACAGGGATGCTGCGTGATCTTTCGCTTCATCCATCAGGTAAGACGCCAACCCCAACCTCACCCCTGAATTTAACCTTGAACGTGGATGCTCTTTCTTACTCCACCTGTACACCTTGTGACTAAGAGCACGGGGGAATTTACCCAGGGCAATCCCACTCTAAAGGACATTCAACACCCTGGAATTATCTGCACTTGACTATGTCATCAATGGGTTACTCATACAGTGTTGGAATGGTTTGCATAAATGGGCCTGAGATAATTAACCATTAGACCTGCTGGGTGTGGAAATGAAGGAAGGAGCTTGAAGCATTTCAGTACTTTAAGTGGGGAGCGACGCTGGGTGTTGGAAGAGGGTCTACGACGGACGTGGCCTCACGTCTTCTGGCCTAAGAGCCGTGATACCCTGAGTGACTCATTCGGGGGCAGAGTCTCTGCAGCATGTCATAGACACACTGACAGCATATTGTCCAGTCAACACGACCGCACTGCACACGGAGAGTTGGGGTAACTGGCCAGAGATGTTCAGCTAGGTGTTCAGTCACGTGCGTGTGAGACATTCTATAGGTATCTTCAAGTGGGAGCGTAATCCAATGTGACAGCATTCTTCTAAGGAAACATTATAGATAATTAAATCTTCCATACTTGGGAGAAAACATCGAACACATGTTAATTCCCACCACCGTAAACAGGATAAGGTGTTAAAGCATGTATGGCTGGTTTGATGGATGAATACAAAGTAAGAATACAAGACTCTGTACATAGACGTTCACAGTTCTGCTTCTCTAACATTCCACCTTCTGGTTTTTCAGATGATTAAATATCATCTTTTCTTAACTTGCTGGCGACAGGTGACTTCTGGTCACTATTTGTCTGATAGTGCTGGTGCAGATTAATGCTGGACATTCAATTTAACACACTTGTGTGAGATCAAACATTGTAGTTCTTGCTTTACGTTTGCTATATAAAACTAGAATCATTTTGACTGATTGTTTTGCTGCACAGTTTTAACAGCAGTTTGTTGATGGATCAAGCAGTATCCTGCATTAATATTGGGTAAGATTTTTGATTTCACATTCTTTCACAACGTTCCAGTGCAGCATATTTCTTAAATAATTTCTTCAACAAAACTGAGAGATCTGCTGTGTTGGCAAATATGTTGCTTGTCTTTGCTGGACGCGACGTTCTCTGAAACGGTGTGTTTACTTAATCATGATGTGAGTTCGATAACAGCTGAGAACCAAATGCAATGTGAGGAAATTGCGGGTGACCACCAGAACAATTACATATCTGCAGCAAAACACGGCAGCGGCCTGCCTGTGTGGAAACGATATGTCCAAACCCTGCAGTGGTGTGATCCTTCCTCTCATGTCTGAGAACCAAAAACAACAGAAGCTGCATCGTGCTTCGTTCTGGTTCTTCACTTTTCAGGCCTCCTCCATCCAACCTGCTTCCCATCTTCATGTAAATAATAGAAACATCCTGAAAATTTTGCTCCTGGTGCCAAAGGTCCTTGGTAAACTGTTTCAGTTTTAATGAATGATGAATGAATGAAATTAGGCTTGATATGTGATTGAATGCAAAGACAGCGTCACAGAAATTGGTCTAATACTGCTGTTGATTCGCAGAGCAAAATCAAATAACATGCAAGTAATAAGGGCAATAACTTTGGACAGACTTTTTATATCGAAAATGCTGTCATTAATGTACTTTAGGGTGGATTGTGACACATGGTAGAAATGGGAACTTTTTTAAATGCTTAAAAATCCTCACAGCTGCTGTTGCAACAAAACACACACACACATTCAAGAGGACATGAGTGAACAGGCTTTCTGGTTTTGGAAACAGAAATGGAAGATCATTACAACACAAAAAGATCCCAAGCCCTATATTTTGACTGGATGAGCAAATGATGGTAACAACAGACACATGGTTGTTCTGTCCCACATGAAAACAAAAGCTGCAATAATAGAGGAAGATCCCATCATACTCTGGGTGAATCCTTAATGACGAATCCACGACTCACCACGTTCATAATACTCCGAGCCTGGCAGAAACTTATGGACTCTTCATTAAAACTGTTATTATAACCTAAATTATATTACATAACAGGCAAACCAAGAGACATCACAGAGCAATCGCTGATTACAGTTTGTTTCATACAGAGAATTAATTTTAATCGGAGATGACATTAACTTTTTCCTGCATACCACTTTAACTTATTGTTATTTTTATTCTGTTATTATTTAGATAATCTTTATCAATTAATTGTTCATTTCTAGCCACTGGATTTATTCCACCTTGTTATGCAGCAGTCTTACTTTTTGTTTATATCCACATTTCTTTAGGTATATAAACCCTTGTGTCCAGCCCCCCTGTTTTGCTCTGTCCTGTGTTTCGCACTTTAAGTCCTATGAAAACCCTCCCCCTGTCACTGCCGTTTGTATGTCACACCGCGGTCCTGGGGGATGCGCTATTACGTGCTGCTGTGTACCTGTATTTGGATAGTATGACAATAAAGTCCACTGGACTTGCCTTGTTTTGAATCCAGGGGGACGTTCACAAAGCATGCAGGCAGGGCGCGACTTTGTGAGCCCAGATTGACTTTGTTAAGTAGCCAGTGTCAGCCGGTTTGGCCAAAAGTTGCAAATCTGCCGGCAGTGGGCAGTAAACTGCAGTTTAAGGGTTTGATATCGCCTCGAAACAGACAAATTTATAATCAAAAGTGAAACTGAACTAGTGGAACAAGAAACATATACACCAAAAGAACATATCTGTGGCCAGCTACTGTGATTTGCCCCGAGTCCCATTGAATAAATAATGCAGCGAATGAGTAAGAGGGAAATAAAATCATGTCAATAACATCTTTCTTCACAGAAGCCCCTTCCGGTGCTTTCGTAAAGTCACTTACAGACAGGTGACTCAACAGGTTGCTCAACGCGACGTGTGTTGTATTTAAGAGGGAACAGAGTCCTAGGGATGGCACAGTGGCGCTCCAGCACCTGCCAGGTAACATGAGGGCCGGCACACTGTACGTCTTCGCCTGTCTGGCAATTGCGGCACGTTCTGCCCCCCTGCCACCGGGGTCCAACGCCAGCTTCGCTGAGGTAAGACCCCCCATCTCAACCGTTTCTCTACCTCAGTGTTTCCATGGAGGCACATATATATATAATTACCTGAAACGCATTTTCATCTCGCTTCTAACATGCTTTTATTGCTCTTGTAGGATTATCTGGAGAAGTTCTTCGACCTGAAAAACACAAATACGTCCTCCTCAAACAATCGACGCGTGAGTCCATTCAACCTGAAGTTGAGGGAGATGCAGCAGTTCTTCAGGCTCGAGGAGACAGGCGTGCTGGATGAGAAAACGCTAGAGGTGATGAATAAACCGCGTTGTGGGATCCCGGATATGGCCGAGTACTCCACCTTTCCAGGGAATCTAAAGTGGCCCAACAACAATGTGACCTACAGGTGAGTGAGACCCCAGTGTCAGTGTGAGAGGAGCTTTGAGGAGGACCAGGTGTGATCTGAGCTGCTTACACATGAGTTTGTTTCCCATCTTCCAGAATCGAGAACTACACACCTGACTTGCCCAGGTCGGAGGTGGACCAGGTCATAAAGGACGCCCTTGATGTCTGGGCCAAGGTCTCTCCCCTGCGTTTCATACGCATCAACTCCGGTGTGGCCGACATCATGATCTCCTTTGGCCGCAGAGGTATGAATGTCAACAGCTGCCGGCCGCCCCTGTGCATTAACGTCCCAGTGAAAAGGCATTGAGACAATTCGCATTTGTGCCAATAGAGCATGGAGATGCTTACCCGTTCGACGGACCCGATGGCACCCTGGCTCACGCTTTTGCACCTTCCGCGGGCCTTGGGGGCGACACTCATTTCGACGAAGATGAGACTTTTACCTCTCACACTACAGCAGGTGAGCCTTCCTGGTCCCTTGATGGTTGGGAACACGGGAAATTCCGATGAGGTCTCAGGAGGGAAAGTTTCTTCACCGAGACTCATTTTCTTTCAGGGTACAATCTGTTCAATGTGGCAGCCCATGAATTTGGCCACGCCCTTGGGCTGTCTCACTCCACGGACCCTGGGGCTCTTATGTACCCAATATACAGCTACAGAGATCCAAGCACCTTTGTTCTTCCCTTTGATGACATGAAGGGAATACAGTCACTTTACGGTGAGTCATGTAACACGAACCCACAATACATCAGTTGTGTTGAACTGTTCTGGATATAAAGTGCTACAGGCTCACTGATTGTTTCTGGTCACCAGGTGTGAAAAACACAGGAGATCCAGGACCACCTAAAACACCCAATGGTTGTGACCCCAACCTGGTGCTGGATGCTGTCACATCTCTGCGTGGAGAGATGATGTTCTTTAAAGACAAGTATGTATGATTAAGTCTGAGACTGTCTCAGTTGTTAGAACATCTCCTTGAAGAGAAACCTCCTCTTCAGGTACTTCTGGCGTAGTTTGCCCCAGAGCAACCAGCAAGAATTGCACCTCATCTCAAGCTTCTGGCCAGAACTTCCCAACAACATTGATGCCGCCTACGAGAATCCCAGCCTGGACAGGGTGTTCCTCTTCAAAGGTGAACTGCAGGAGAAGCAAAAGGCTTCAGTAACCCGTGCTGATATTACGTGTGCTGTTAAGGAAATCTTATAGTTTTCCTTCTCCTGATTCGCAGATGATAAGGTCTGGGCTCTGTCCGGCTACGACGTTGCTGCAGGCTACCCGAAAAGCCTCAGCCAGATTGGTCTGCAAGCCAGGATTAAGAAAATCACCGCTGCTGTGCACAACACGAAAACCAAAAAGACGCTGATCTTCGTCAATGACCAATACTACAGGTCTGTCCGAAAAACTTATTTATACTCACCAGCAGGAAGTTCCTGCACTGTGGACAGAACTGGCATCAGCAAGCTTTGATCTCAGGCTTGTATCACCTGTGTTGACCTCAGTTTACCTGCTGCTAACGGTACCTTTCTTGCTGATCCTGCAGCTACAGTGGTGACCTTAAATCAATGGACAACGGTTACCCCAGACCTGTAGCCAGTGATTTCAAAGGCATGCAAGGGGAAGTCATGGCTGCTTTTCAAGTCAAAGGTGAGTAACAACTAACTACCTACATGTCTGAACAAGATCCTTTGCTGACCAGCAGTATCCAGACAAACCTCACCCTAACTATCTCTACCAAAAGAACATAATCAAGTATAATCATGTAAATAAACAAGCAAATAAATAAATGACTTGGAAGTCTATAGCACAATGCAGGGGCCTGTATCATGAAGCAGGATTTCTGGTTTAGCAAGATAACTTGTCAGATTTGAGGTGGTCTGGGCTAAATATACATGAACGAAGATAAAGTTTATTTAAACTGGGGAACCTTAAATCCAACAAGTTATCAGGCTAAGCAAGAAATCCTGCTTTGTGATACATGCCACAGGTAGTACGAGTATGGTAAAATATGCATTTTAATCATGACAGATACTCTTGTTATTTAAAGCAAGTGGACCTGCTTGCAGAATTTCCCACCATTCAACGCATCCTGGGGGTGGGTGTTCCACAAAGAAGGATTTCTCAGTTAGCTGGGTTAACTTAAACTAGGAGTCATAATTGTCCAATAGGGATGCTCCTTATCTAAACTCTGATTGAGCGATCAATACTTCTAACTAAGTTAACCCAACTAGCCGAGAAATCCTGTTCTGTGGGACTCCCCCATAGTGACCACAAACCGCCACTCTGCTAAACATCAAATAAACGTGTTCCTCATTTAGGAGATGCCGATACAATACCTTCCGCTAATCAGCTACCTAGCTACGATCGTTTTGATGCTACTTGCTATTTTTTAAACCAGGGATGTCAAACTCCAGTCCTGGAGGGCCAGAGTCCTGCACATTTTTGGGTTTCCCCTCATTTAACACACCTGATTCAACTCCTTGCACCTCGTTGTGCTAATTACCACACAGCTCTTGAGCTGAATCATTTATGGTGGAACAGGGAAAGAACTAAGCTACACAGGGCTCCAGCCCTCCAGGACTGGAGTTGGGCACCCCTGTTTTAAACGTTTGGGGGGAGTGGGGTGTATAGAAACATGAAACCCGCCCCTTGGTGGAGCAATGCATGATGGGAGATTGTTTCGTGTTTTCTGAGTTGGGTGGGTGTAAGGAGTCGGTGACCAGAAGTGTAGATCAAATGTAACATATCTGAATGTTCTTATTACAAATGTGTATGTAATCATTTAGAAAAGCTTTCCAGTGGTCCGCAGTGAGATACCGTGATCCCGCCTGGGAATAGAAAGCTATTAACCACTCCCCTTTACAGATTTCATCTACCTGCTGAATGGATCGACCATGTATGAATTCAACGCCCGCGACAAGACATTTAGCCGCAGGCTTAAAGCCAATTTTTTCATGGGCTGTTCGAGATAATTTACCTCCGTGCTGTTTTGTCGCAGAGCAGGAAGCGCAACCTTAATCTTGAACGACCAAGGCTTTCGCTTTATGTTTCACATGTTAAAGTATTATCGGTGTACCCCGAGTAGGATGCTGTGGGACACAGAATACTGCTTTTGATTGTTTAATTTCTAGACGTAGCTATGATGTTCTCAAATGTGTATGTTACTTTCATGATTTAAAAATGGCATTATCTTAATTATTCAACGGCATCTGGCTTATGCACGAACTTGAAACATGGCAGACTGTAATGTGTAAAAGTGTTGGTTTTAATAATTTTTTAAGTTTTTGTATACATGACAGTGGCAGCTGAACTATGTATGCATTTAGGCAGTTAGATGTCGGTTACAGAGTCTTTCTGTGCCTGTAATGGCTTAGAGTTGAGGGATAATATTTGTTTTGCATATTTTATGTTTTGCAGTTATATTTTACAGTTCTCACAAATATGTAACTCACTCTGAATTCTTGTTTAGACTGTCTTGCTTCCACAAGCATAGCTATTATTTTCTGTCGTTAATTTCGCTTTTCAGTGACTGAAGCGACTCGACCACCCGGCGTCCCCGCGTCAAGAGTATGTGCTTACGTTTGTGTTTTGCCTGCTCCCATCGCACAACATTTTAGCCCATATATATACTGTAAATGTGGATAATAATAATAATAATAATAAATAGCAACCATAAATAAATAATAAATAAACCAATACATTTATTTCAGACCCAAGTAGCATATGTATTTAGGATTTGCCCCCCCCTCCGCTAGGTACCGGGTCCTTTTAAGATCATTTATTTGAAATGGGCCCATTGTATATTCATATCTTCAGTTTTATCCGACTTAAGTCAGTTTTAGTCCATGTAACACCATAGATTTTTCTTTTGGAGAAATAAAATCAGAACAATATGAACATGCTGCTTGTGTTTTTTAGGTTTGTAAAACTGCAAGCCGCTTCAGAGCGATCATTGTCAGGCTCTGTAGCGCCCGACCCCGCCCTCTGTGCCCCTTCCCCATTTCGCCTTTCCTCCTCGCTGTCTTAGTTCCTACTCTTCCCTTATGCGTTTTCCCTGTTCCCCAGACCACTGCACATCGGACAGTGGGCTGAGCGCGTGGCTCGGTTCGCAAACATGGCGGTTGTGGGTTTGAGGCTGGCACAGTCTCCCGTGTTCTGGATTCCGTTTGTCTTTTGTTCCCCAGTGTTTGTAGTTATGGGATTTGGTGTTTTGTAGGCCTGCTTGTTGTATCAGTCTTGTATTTTCGGTGCTTGATTAGCGTTCTCTAGTTTTACTTTCCTAGTTCTGTGATCGCTCCCTGTTCATTAGTTTCACCTGTTGCTTGTTCCGTTTTGATTGGTCGTTAAGTTAATACTTCTCTCCCGTATCCTCCTTAGCTCAGCCTGGTTTGTGTATTTAAGTTCTTGCCTCAATTAATTTCCCCAGCTGGTCATTGTGTTAGTGTCAGAATGTGCATGTTGATCTATTTGGTTTCCCTAGTTGTGTTAGTTTTTTTTTTTGTGTGTGTTTATCTGTGTTTTTTCCCCCCTCTTGTTTTTTATTTTGATCCCTTGTGGTCTGTTTGTTTTGATTTCCCCCGGTGTGTTTTAGTTCTATTTAAATAAATCCCTGTTGTCTCTTGGAGGTGCAGTTGGATTGTCACCTTCCTTTCCTTGCCTGCACTATATGCCCCATGTCTGTGACATGCATTGTTTTGTGTCTCAAAGGATATATTAAATGATGTACACGGTTTTAGTTATTGGTAAAGTTATTTTCTTTTTAATTTTTGGAAAATCACGAAAGATCTGTTACTGATAAGATAATTAAATCACTTTATTTCCCCCCCCCCACCACCAAAAAAAAAAAGCAGTGAACAAATATCATAAATCAAATAATTTAGAGAAATTGTAATAAATATATTGTAAAGGACGCTTCTTGTAATTAAATGGCTTCAGTCCAAATATTTAAAAATGCACTGCAATAAATAATGTTGGTAGAAAAAAAGGAAGGCTGCTTTGAGATGTGGTTCTGAGTCTCAGCAGTTAAGGAAATGCGTTCCGGGAAGCTGGCGGTGCAGTCTTTGGCTCTGGTAGCTGTACTCGTATAAGCGCCGACCACTGGACAGGTACGTGAACCCTGTGAAACAGTATATTATTAGAGAGCGATCTGACGTTTTAAAAAAGCGTCAAACAGTGCCTTTATATGATTGCTTAAGGACTCCCGAAATGGTACCCACCATGGAGTTGGAATGCTGCCGTAACCCTCTCGGTCATGCCTGGGAAAGTATTCTTCACCAGTTTGGGGTAGCCTTTGTCCATCTTGCCCTTACTCTCGTCGTAGCTGCAGAGCAGGATATAGTTGCACAATCAGCATGTTTATCCGGGAAACGATTTCAGCTGCAAATACTCAAAAATCAACATGGATTTCATTACTGCTTATTGTTCCCAATAGCGATAAAATGTTGCCAAAATCTGATTCGACGCAGTGCGTCTACGGCAGTATCACTGTCTGCTGCACAAACCTGAAATAGTGCTTGTTCACGAAAAACAGCGTCTTTCTGCTTGCTTTGTCATACACAGCGGCAGTTATCTTCTGAAGCCTGGCTGGCAGACCCATACTGGTGAGGTTTTTCGGGTAGCCAGGCACAATATCATAGCCTGACAGAGCCCAGACTTGATTACCTGTGGATTGGGAGAGGGACAGGCTGTAAGGTTTTCTTAGCAGTATAAGTAGACGGTACACTTCACATCAGCACAAGTTGCCATCACCTTTTTCCTATCTTGCTGTTTACCTTTGAAGAGGAACACCCTGTCCAAGCTGGGATTCTCGTAGGCGGCATCGATGTTGTTGGGAACTTCTGGCCAGAAGCTTGCGATGAGGTGCAATTCTTGCTGGTTGCTCTGGGGCACACTACGCCAGAAGAACCTGAGGAGAAGGAGAAGGAGAAGGAGGAAGATAGTTTCCACTACTGCACTACATCCCGGAGATAAAGCTTCATGCACAATATAATATTTAAACAGATAAAAGCACAACTTTCTATACATTTATTAGTACTTGACCTTAAACATCTCCTTGAACATGAACCTTTTATCAGGTACTTGGTCTCAGAATTGAATCGTACGTACTTGTCTTTAAAGAACATCACCTCTCCACGCAGAGATGCGACGGCATCCAGGACCAGTTTCGGGTCACAAGGATCGGGGGTTTGAGGTGGAGGGACGTCCGTAACTCCCTGGTTCACATTGGGGTTTGAGCCTAGTGATCACAAATGACAAATTAGGTTATGTAGCACTGCACATCCAGCACAGTTCTGCAACCAGTGCATTGTGGGTAAGTTGTACAGACTTACCGTAAATGAACTGTATTCCCTTCACGTCATCATAGGGGAGCGTGAAGGTGCTTGGGTCTCTGTAGCTGTACATTGGGTACATAAGAGCCCCAGGGTCCGTGGAGTGAGACAGCCCAAGGGCGTGGCCAAATTCATGGGCTGCCACAATGAACAGATTGTACCCTGAAAGAAAATGAGTCTCGGTGAAGAAACTTCCCTTGTGAGACCTCATCGGAATTTCCCGTGTTCCTGGCCCTCCAGGGACCAGGAAGGCTCACCCGCTGTAGTGTGAGAAGTAAAAGTCTCATCCTCGTCGAAATGAGTGTCGCCCCCAAAGCCCGAGGAAGGTGAAAAAGCGTGAGCCAGGGTGCCATCGGGTCCGTCGAATGGGTAAGGGTCTCCGTGGTCTAATGGCACAAATGCACGTTGTCTTAATGTGAAACGAAGGAGACTCCAGGCTGTATGTGCGGTTTATGTTTCTTGTGTTCATGCATACTGTCTAAGAGAAACACTAGAGGAGCTTGATTTTCAGACCAAAATGCGAGTCTAAACACTCTTTCCCTTAAAGCTCTTTATCTGTCTCCCTTAAGTGGTTCAGTCTCTGAGGATGTTTTTCTCTTGTAAAC